GGGGGCGAGGAGGCAAACCGACGGGAAAGGAAAAAAAAATCATCATCAGAAAGTGGCGTAATTTTTGGTGCGGACAACGACCGCCTGGCCTCGAGAGAAAAAAACTATTTACCACGGGGGAAGGTTAGGACACACAATGGGAAAACACTCCAGCATAGAAAAATGACTGGGGATTAAATGAGATTAAAATAAAGTAGGCGCCCCAGGTATTTCCAGAGCACTAAGAAGCCGCTGGACACCGCCAGAGTTGCTCTCGTCGCCCCCGAGAAGCTTTTGATGTTTAGTGGGGAGACAATGAAGAAGTTTGTGTCGGCTGGTGGCTGCGGGCGAAAACTCACGAGGAGGCCGCATAATTGAGAGAGTGGGGGAGAGGGGAGAGAGACGGAGAGAGAGGGAGGGAGAGAGAGAGGGAGGGAGATAGAAGGTGAGCGGGATGAGCGCTGTCTGCTCTTCTTTGCCGAGCCGGTGGAGACATTTCCTAAGAGACCTCATTAACACCTTTCCAAGGAAACGCGGGAGGCTTGCGTCTGCACGCTCCCTGGTATACCCCCCACCACAGCCCTCCTATCCCCACTATACCCTGCGTATAACGCTCTACCTGTCTTTTCCTTCTCTCTCTCGCTCGTCTCAAGGCACACACTAAATGCTTATGAACTTTTTTTTTCTTCATAAGCTGCGTATATCGCAGTTATACATAATTGTGGACAATTTTGTACGTAATTGTGAACTTCTTTGCTCAGTCGCTGGGCTCAGCAAAAATTTTTCGTAAGTTGTGAAGTAAAAAAAAGTGCGGAGCTTATGAACAATTTAAAATGTACCTAATTGCAGATAAATGGTACTATCACCGCAAAAAGAACTGAACCCCTCTGATATCTAAATACCAAGCAGAAAGGGTTCATTTCTTTCTGCGGTGATAGTACACCCTTGTTGAAATTATTCATAGGTTGTGAAGTAACCGAAAAGTACGCAGCTTATGAACAATTTCAATTGTACACAATTGCAAATTAATAGTAGACCCTTGTTGAAATTATTCATA